AGTCAACTCTGTACCCCATAATATGCAAAAATAAATAAATGAATAAATAAATAACCAAATGTAATGATATGCTGTAAGATCTGTATCTCCTATGTAATTTAAAAATATTTTTTATTGTGGTAAAATACGTATAACATAAAATTTACCATCTTAACCATTTTTTGTGATGGGCTAAGAATTATTTTTATTTTATTTTTTTCTTTGTACATGTTTATGGAGTACAGTTTGTAGTTTCAATACATGCACATATTGTATAATGATCTAATCCATCTTAACCACTTTTTTTTTTTTTTATAAAGATGACTGGTAAGGGGATCCTAACCTTTGACTTGGTCAGCACCACACTCTCCCAAGTGAGCCACGAGCCAGCCCTCATCTTAACTATTTTTAAGTGTACAGTTCAGTAGTGTTAAGTACATTCACATTGTTGTGCAACCAGTTTCCAGAACTCTACAGTCATTCTTATTCACGTCTCCTGGGAAACGTGTGCAAGAGTTTCTCTGGGCATGCCCTGTGGGTGGAATTGCTGGAGCATTGGGTTTGTACATGTTCAGCTTTATTAACTAAGGCCATACTCTTTTCCAAAATAGCTGCACCAATTTATTCTCCCATGAACAGTTACTTTTTTAAAAAGTAGGTAATACGGGCCGACCCCGAGGTGCACTGGGGAGAGTGTGGCTCTGGGAGCGCAGCAGCGCTCCCCACCGCGGGTTCGGATCCTATATAGGGATGGCCCTGGTGCACTCACTGGCTGAGCACGGTGAGGCCGTCACAAAAAAGGACAAAAAAAAAAAAAAAAAAAAAAAAAAAAAAAAAAAAAAAAAAAAAAGAAAAAGAAAAAAAAAAAAAAAAAAAGAAAAAGAAACAAAATAATAATACAATGAAAAATCTCCTGTCTCACAACCACCTCATTCTCTCCCAACAGGTAACCAATATTATCAGTTTCTAGTGATTACCCTTCCAGAAATATGCTATTGTGTGTATTTTCCCCTTTTCCCAACAAATGCTAGCATTCTATGATACTGTTCTGAATCTTGTTTGTCTCTCTTAACAAACATCATAGGCAGTATAACCTGTTGGCCTTTGGAGCAGATTGCCTCATGTCTCAGCTCCACTCTAAGCTGGCTGTGACCTTGAATAGGTCATTTAATCTCTCTGTGACTCATATTCCTTTTTTGTAAAATAAAGGAAAGAACCTTCACTCATAGTTTTGTGAGAAATTAGTTAATATATGTAAAGCATTTAGGACTGCGCCTATTAGAACCATTAACTATTATCAATACAATTACATAAATGTTTCTTATTCTTTTTTACAGTTACATGGTAGTCTTTTATACAAGGGTACTTAAAAAGGTTCGTGGAAAAATGGAATTAAAAGATAATACGAATCTTTCAATGAACTTTTTGAAGACCCATTGTATAAAAGTATAATTTATTTTAAACATAATTGATAAACAATTAATTTTTTTCTGGTACGTTATTATAAACAGCACAGTATTAATTAAGATATCCTTTCCTGGGGCCGGCCCGTGGCTCACTCGGGAGAGTGCGGTGCTGATAACACCAAGGCCACGAGTTCGGATCCTATATAGGGATGGCCGGTTAGCTCACTGGCTGAGCATGGTGCTGACAACACCAAGCCAAGGGTTGAGATCCCCTTACCGGTCATCTTTAAAAAAAAAAAAAAAAAAAAAGATATCCTTTCCCACACTGGTAAGTACATCCGTAGGATAAAATCCTAGAATTGGAATTGCTGGGTCAAATGTGTATGTGCAGTTCTTATTTTAATAGATACAGGCAAATGGCCCTTCATAGGTATATCACAGATTCTCATATATATTAATTTAGAGAGATATAGAAATTTAAAAATAAAACAGACCCAGGTAAGCACATCCGACGCAGGGAGAGGGAAAGTGACTCCCACAGGCAGCTAGTGCGCAAACAGCATCAGAACCCATGCGGATGTCTGGACTTTGAGTCATTATATTGATGCTGCAGTTTGCTTACTTAATGGTAGTAACTTAATTTCTAATTTCTCATTCTTTCCGACTTTTCCCTTGAGCTATTTTCCTACCCTGGACTGATCATGTGCTCTGTCAAGTGACCCTTGGACAATTCTGACCGTCATAAGGATTGCCGAGTGACCGGTCTCCCTTCGTCTGCGAGAATGCCGGACTTGGTAAAGTGACTCGAGGGGAACAGAGTTCCGCCAGCCACTTCCAAGAGATCATTCAAATTACGAAAGGTCAAGGGCTCGGATTCCTTTATCGGCCAGCCGCCATAAAAGGGAAAAAAAAAAAAAAAAGACAAGGGGAGCGAACTAAAGCACCTGACATTCTGCACTCTCGCTCGGATCAGTTTTGCAAACGGATGGTCGATTTGCAATACACCTTTTAGAGGAAGGGAAGCCCGCATCTGTGCGGCAGAGTCGTCATTGGATGGTGCGGCTGTCAATCACCAGGGGTATAAATACAGGAAGCCGGCGCTCCTCCCTTAGGGAGGTCAGGAGTTTGTCGCGTGGGTCGATCCACCTTGCGCGAGTCGTGCGGGGAGACTGCGATTGATAGTTGACTGTTACTTCGTATTACCTTGAGTAGAAAGGAAAAGGGTCCTCTCTTCCCTCCCTGCCGGGCGGGCGCGATGGCGGAAGCTGCGGCGACGGGCGCCAGCGGGGAGGCGGCGGCGGAAGGCTGCTCGGGCCCGGCGGGCTGGTCTCTGAGCGGGGGTTTCTCGAGCTACCGGCCCTTCGAGCCCCAGGCGTTGGGCCTCAGCCCGAGCTGGCGGTTGACGGGCTTCTCCGGCATGAAGGGCTGAGGCTGTAAGGTCCCCCAGGAGACGCTGCTCAAACTCCTGGAGGGACTGAAGCGGCCAGACTTGCGGCCCCCGCTGGGCCGGGGCCTGGTCGGAGGCCAGGAAGAGGCGGCACAGGAAGCCGGCCTGCCAGCCGTGCCGGGCCCCAGCCCGCCCTTCCCAGCCCTGGGCATTGGGATGGACTCCTGCGTCATCCCCCTGAGACATGGGGGCCTGTCACTGGTGCAGACCACGGACTTCTTTTACCCCTTGGTGGAAGACCCCTACATGATGGGGCGCATAGCCTGTGCCAACGTGCTGAGCGACCTCTATGCCATGGGCATTACTGAATGTGACAACATGTTGATGTTACTCAGCGTCAGCCAGAGTATGAGTGACGAGGAGCGAGAGAAAGTAACACCACTCATGATCAAAGGCTTTCGAGATGCGGCTGAGGAAGGAGGGACTGCGGTGACTGGTGGACAAACGGTGGTCAACCCTTGGATTATCGTCGGTGGAGTTGCCACTGTGGTATGTCAACCAAATGAATTCATAATGCCCGACAGTGCAGTTGTTGGGGATGTGCTCGTGTTAACCAAACCCTTAGGAACCCAAGTTGCTGTCAATGCCCACCAATGGCTGGATAATCCTGAAAGGTGGAATAAGATAAAGATGGTGGTTTCCAGAGAAGAGGTAGAGCTGGCCTATCAGGAAGCTATGTTCAATATGGCTACCCTAAACAGAACTGCTGCTGGATTAATGCACACTTTTAATGCCCACGCGGCCACAGATATCACAGGCTTTGGCATTCTAGGACACTCTCAGAACCTTGCCAAACAACAAAGAAATGACGTGTCCTTTGTCATTCATAATCTGCCAATCATTGCCAAGATGGTTGCCATCAGCAAGGCTAGTGGGCGGTTTGGACTTCTTCAGGGAACCTCTGCTGAAACCTCTGGGGGATTACTGATTTGTCTACCAAGAGAACAGGCGGCTCGCTTTTGTTCTGAAATCAAATCTTCCAAGTATGGGGAGGGTCACCAGGCATGGATCGTCGGCATTGTGGAAAAGGGAAACCGGACGGCCCGAATCATTGACAAGCCTCGAGTTATTGAGGTCCTACCTCGTGGGGCCACTGCTGCGGCTCTTGTTCCTGACAATTCCAATGCTTCCTCTGAGCCTAGCTCATGAGGTGGAATAGCACAAATTGTTTGGCCCTTAGAGCCTTTGTACAAGATCATGAACAATTCTCAAGAGTTGATTTTAAGAAATTTCCAAAGAAGGCTGCCTGCATAGTGGTACCAGCTGCTGTTTGTAGGTGATTTGAATCAGCCCATCAAAAACTGAGTCTATGCACATTCTGAGGCCAGAACTAACTTTTGAACTTTGAGAGAATGTTTATTCATCTCTTGAGCAGGAGTGGAAAAACCTCTGTTTCCTCCTTCCAAAGCAAGATGAGGCTATTCCAGTTGGAAGGATTTTTCTTTGCACTGAGTTGATTAATTTCTGCACAGGGAGTGAGATTACTTATTAAGGTTACATTACACACACCAAAAAAAAAAAAAATTGCAAAATGAAAAAACTTTATATCAGAGGCAAATGAGTTTGGACCAATACTGTTGATAATATAAATTGTTAAGAGAGCTCTTATAATGCTTGTCAAATTCTTTATTAGATTTTTCCAAAGTACTGGTTCTTTCCCGCTATGGACAAGAATTGAGCAGCTTGTCCAATGACTGGGAAAGGAGGACCTGCAACCATCTGACTTGGTCTCTGTTAATGATGTCTCTTTCTCTAAACCCCATAAGGACTGGAAGAGGCAGAGTAAGCCCCAGAGCCCAGGTCTTGGTGTTTATTAAGATGTTAAGTCTTGTGCTGAAAATTCCTGGTGATTTAATAAATAAAGAGTAATTTCTAGCTAAATAAATAAAAGGGACTTTATTGAAAAACTCTTCTGGCTATTGTCTGGTTCCGTGGAATTCTCAATCTTTTACAGTCTTATAGAATGAACCAGTTGATACATTTAGAGTCTGGCAAAGTGGAGATTTGAGTGTTTTCGCTGATAAACTCCGATTTCAGTTTGTACCTTCCCCCGATATGACAGAAAAGGGCTCAAAAGTGGCATAAACTCCAAGAATTAGAGGATGGAAGAGGAAATAGCAAAAGAAAGGTGACAACAATCCTTGCAAGATGGGAGGAAGTGGAAGAGGGGTAACTGACTTAGCAAAATAGAGGAAACCTTCAGAGTGGGGAAATAAGAAACGAGATAAGCTCTGGAGGTGCTTAGGAAGGTGGGGTTGTGGGGTGGGTGGAAATCCTAGACGCAGGATAATTACATCTTTATAGTTCTCAAGCCTTTCCCCCAATTTCACATAGCTGGGTGACTGCCTCTCACCTCTGCAGGTAAAAGGACTGGGGACTGTCAGGACCACCAGGCACAGAAGAGGACAAGGAGCCTGATGGAAAAGAATAAAAACGGCTGGTTAGATCAGTTAGTTAGAGGATGGTGTTGATAACACCAAGTCAAGGGTTCAGATTCCCTTGCTGGCCAGCTGCCAAAAAAATAAAAATAAAAACTGAAACATGAGACTGGCCCAGCCCCCTTCCTCAGCTTAGCTATTAAAACATTGGCCTAAGGGCTGGCCGGTTAGCTAAGTTGGTTAGAGCGTGGTGCTGATAACATCGAGGTCCAGAGTTTGATCCTGTACCTGCCAGCCACAAAAAAAAACCCAAAACAAGAACAAAAAACTGGCCAGCTTATACCACCCCCTGCCTGGCATAGGTGAAAGATTGGAGAATACTCTGGAGAAAATGAACATGCTCAGAAAAAAGATGTATAAATATAAATATTTAGGAGATCCCCAGTGAAAATCACTGAGCCATGAAGCCTCCCAGTTGAGAAGCCTCATTCAAGGACATTAAGATTTTTAGTGCCGTGTTCTAAAATATGAGCAGTCAAGGATTGCCAGACATTTGAGGCAAGACTTGAAAGTAGTTGAAGCAACAGAAAAAAGAAACTCGGAATAAAGAGACAATGTAGGGAGTAGATGAGAAAGATAAAAAAAGAGAAAGTATCCACAAAATGACAATTGATAACGCACTTAGAATATCTGATAGGGCCGGCCCTGTGGCTCACTTGGGAGAGTGCGGTGCTGACAACACCAAGTCAAGGGTTAAGATCCCCTTACCGGTCATCTTTTGAAAAAAAAAAAAAAAAAGAATATCTGATAAAGCTAAAATTTTAAAATTCAGTAAGAGATAGAAAAAGTTGAGGCAATTTATCAGAAAGTAGAACAAAAAGACAAAAAGATGCACAATAGAAGAGAAAAACGTATGAAAATAAGAGGTGAGCCAGGAATTTCAACATCTAAGAGGAGTTGTAGAAAGAAGTAAAGCAGATGGAAGAAAATTATTATTGAAGAATAATAGAAGTTTTCTAAAACTTATTAAAAGTAGTAAGTTACATACCTCTTGAACCCCCAGCATAGTGAATTTTAAAAGACCCACACTAGGGCCGGCACGTGGCTCACTCAGGAGAGTGCAGTGCTGATAACACCAAGGCCACAGGTTTGGATCCCTATATAGGGATGGCTGATTAGCTCACTGGTTGAGTGTGGTGCTGACAACACCAAGCCAAGGGTTAAGATCCCCTTACCGGTCATCTTTTTAAAGAAAATAAATAAATGAATAAATGAATGAATGAATGACCCACACTGATTTTATTAAATCTCAAAATGCTAGGGATAAAGAGACCCTAATAATAATACTGTAATAACAAATGTTTATATATTATGTGCTTAGTGGCAGGCACTTAGTGCTTTATATGTATTAATTCATTTAATCTTCTGATAACCCCATTTTGCAAATAAGGAAGCTGAGGTGTGTGGAGATTAGAAATTCGTCCAAGGTCACATAGGCAGTCTTCCAGGCAGCCTTGACTCCAGAACCTGTGCTTCTAATCACTATGATCTCATAGAAAGGTTTGGGGATGAGAATGATACCAGACTTCTCAACAGCAAATTGGAAGCTGAAAGATAACAAGGCAGTTTTCAAAATTCTGAGGGTAAGCGATTTTCTATGTTGCGTTCTATACCAAGACATATTTTTCAAACAAGTAGAATAAAAATATTTTTAGACATTCAAGCCATCAGAATGGCTTTATCCTATGCACTCTTAAGAAACCACTGGAAGATATGCTCCAGCAGAACAAGGGAGCAAACAGAAAAACATGGGATCCAGGAAATGGGACCCAGCACAGGAGGTGAAGGTAATAGCTGTACAGCAGGATTAGAGAGCAACTGGCCCGTACTAGACCAGGAGCCTGGAAAGCTTCCAGGAAAGAAAACAATGGAACTGATGTTGTATTGGTACATTTAATTGTGTGAAAAAATTGTGTTGGAGGGATGATGGAAGATGTAGACAGAACTGGTGATAATCATACGGAAAACTAGTTAATAATAAAGCAGTTATCAACTCCAGTTAAAGATAACCTTGTAGGGCCAGCCCATGGCTCACTCGGGAGAGTGTGGTGTTGATAACACCAAGGCCACAGGTTCGGATCCCTATATAGGGATGGCCAGTTAGCTCACTTGGGAGAGCGTGGTGCTGACAACACCAAGTCAAGGGTTAAGATCCCCTTACTGGTCATCTTTAAAAAAAAAAAAAGATAACGTTGTAGAACAAATGGAGTATAATCATACCGTGGTATTCAACAATGGATATTTACCTAGTTAATAATGTAAATACTATTTAACATCAACAACAAAAAAGTAAATGCCATCAGTTTTTCTCTTGCTCAAAGCTCTTAGCTTTCCATAAAATCCCTGCATATTCCCAGCCCTGCTACAGCTCTGCAACTTCATCTCGTGGCACTCTTGCTATCTCTCTCACAGAGCTCTAGCCCATTAATTAGCCTTTCCATGGGGCTTCAAACAAATCAGGATCCTTTGTACTTACAGTTCCCTCTGTCTGGAACCTCACCTCGGACTCCGCCTGGCTGGCTCATTCTAGTCCTGCCTCAGCTCAAATAAACTCCGTTCATAAAACCCCTCTCTGACCTCCCAGCCAACACCCAGCTACTCTCCAACAACCACCTACTCCTCACCCTATTTATTTGCTTCATAGCTCTTATCCTAATCTGTAATTATCTTGAGAATGTATTAGTGTACTTTGTAATTCTCCACTTCTGCTGGTATGTAAGCTCCAAGATGGCAGGGATGTTCGGTGTCCCCAGCACCCGAGCAGTGCCTGATCCATAGTTAATGCTCAGAATATAGTGAATGAATGAATGAGTGAGTGAGATATCCATTGGAGACCCTAGCACTCTCTCTTTTCACACTTTCCTGGCTCTTGATGTTTATGTCGGTGGAAGCTGGTACCACCAATCTCTTAAGACAAGGTTTCTGAGAAGAAATTCAGGTCTTGGGCCTGGTTGCCCACCTACACAGCTCTCTGACTGGTTCATTTTCAAGTTTGTGGTGAGAGGGAATCAGGGATAGAGTTGAGAACAAGGTTGGCACCCAATTCTTCTTTGGGGGTTGGAGAAGGCTGGGCAGCAAAATGGAGGTTGTGGGTTGATGGAATTTGGATGTATTGTCCTCCCAGAACTGATGGAAATCTGATCCCCAGTATGGCAGTTTGAGTCACTGGGGCAGATCCCTCATGAATGGATTACTGCTCTCCCTGGGTGGGGGCAGTGAGTGAGTTCTTGCTCTGTTAGTTCCCGTGACAGCTGGTTGTTTAAAAGACCCTGGCACCTCCCCTCCCTCTTGCTTCCTCTCGCCACGTGATCTGCTTGTACCCTGCTTTGTGCCAGTGAATAGAAGCATCCTGAGGCCCGCACCAGATGCAGCTGTCCCAGAATCGTAAGCCTAATAAACCTCTCTTCTTTATAAATTACTCAGTCTCAGGTATTCTGTTACAGCAACACAAAATGAACTAATACACAGGTAGAGGAGGTAATGGGGCCTCACGTGGAAATTAGAACAGAAGCACAGGTACAAGCAGAGGTAAGGGAGGTGATGGAGGAAAGGAAGAGGAAAAAGAGAAAGAGGAGAAGAAGCTGGAGCTTAGAGGAAGAGAAAGGACAGAAGGATAGGCAGTGTGGCAGGGTGACTTCGGCATGTACCCAAGCATGTGCAAGGTGCCTCCCTGACTTCCTGGCAGGAGCTGTGGGGAGACTTCTTTCATTTGCTGAGGAGCATTGAGGGGTGAAGGTGAGCTTCAGCCTTCGTGTTTTTAGTGATCTCAGATGAGTCTCCCGACCTCTCTCGGCCTCAGTTTCCTTGTCTGTAAAATAGGTGCAGCCATGCCTACTTGTGGCAGGAAAGTCTTAGAGGGGATCCCATAAGGCAGCACCTACAAATGACTGTTCATTAGATCTGCTCCAGGCTGGTGGGTTAGCTCACTTGGTTAAAGTGAGGTGCTGATAACACCAAGGTCAGTGGTTCGATTGCCAGCCTCTACAAAACTATAAATACATAAATACGTAGATAGATAGATAAGTAGATCTGCTGGAGAACTAGGCCCTGAGGGAACAAAAACCTGATACTGCTTCTGCTTTCCAAGAGACTCTGGTCTAGGATGAGGTCTAGGGCAAGGACACCAATGGTCCCACGATTCAGGTGAGAAGTGGTAGGTGCCATGAGAGCTAGAGTGGATGAAGAGCTAAAAAAGGCCAAATTATTTCCTTTTTGGAGGAAGTTTAGGAAGGCTTCCCAGAGGAGGTGGCTTTGAAGCAGGGCTCTGCAGGATGGGTGGATGGAATCTGGACAGGGATGGGCATTCCAGATGGAGGGAACCGGGTGAGCAAAGGCAGGGGGAAAAGTAGGGAACATCTGGCTGGATTTCAACAAGTGTGTAGGGATACAGGGCTGGAAAAGTAGGTTGGGGAGAGACTTCTAAGGGTTTTAGAAACTCTCTGGCCTGAATGGGCTAAGTTAGAGAGTCTCA